ATAAAAAAATTGAATTAAAATTTACACAAAAAAAGGAATTTTAAATAGTTAATTTGATACTAATATCGATATATTTTTATCAATTTTTTATGATATCTTCAAATTTATATTTTATTAAAAATAAAAACATCTTTGTTTTTTCAAAATCAAATAAGACCATATTACAACAACGACTGAGATAAAAAAATAAAATGAAATATTAAAATCAAGATATATCTCGCAGCATTGTGCGAGTACCCTTCCAGTATATATATATATATATATATATATATATATATATATATGGTTGGGTTCACGTGAGACCAATAGTTTTTCGTGAGACACGTAAGACCAATTTATGTTCATTAATCAACTTTATAATCTAATGGTCTAAAATTGTAAAGTGGCAATTTTGTGATTATTGAGAAGTCTCGTGGCGTTTATGAATGTTCAGATTGTCCGATTATAGATCTAATCCAAGGGTTGAGAATTAGTCTTACAGGTCTCACGAAAAACCCTTAGTCTCACATAATCCCAAATGTCTCTCTATATGTGTGTTTATTTACCTATGCAAATACCATTTCATCTTTTTGAGACGACTTAATGAATTTTTAAACCAATGTTCTTGGTTTTTGTTGTGTACTAATTACCTTCTTTTCATAAAATGCATTAAAGACGATGACAACTTGCCAACATGTGAGCATTTTGGTGAAAAGGGCATTTTCGTCATTTAGAAAACCCAAAAATCGTCTGATTCATATAAAAGAGACGTTTTACATAAACCACCTGAAATAATGTAATTTATAATCTTGAACTAAATTTAGTTATTTCAAGTAAGGTTGGAAATAGAAAAACCGTACATAAATTACAATTGAAAACTTGGCAAAATTGTATTTCAAGGAAATACGATAGGCAAATTGCATGTAAAAATAACGTACTTTAACTTGTTTCCTATTTTTGGTAACGTACTTTCAAAACTTTCATTTTGGTACCTAAGATGTAAAGTTTTACACATTTAAGTATCCGGATATCCGATTGAAGCGTTAACTCTTTCTTCTAATAAACCACAGTACATAAAAACTAATTTTAGATTAAGATATCCTTGTCAGCAAATAATATTGAGTTAGATACCACATCACTCGCCACATCAGCATGGTAACTGGTTAATGCTTCAACCGGTTACCCAGGTACTTAAATGTTTAAAACTTTACATCTTAGGTACCAAAATGGAAGTTTTGAAAGTACGTTATCCAAAATAGGAATCAAGTTAAAGTACGTTACATTTTCATGCAATTTGCTCTTTCCAAATACTGTAATGAATGTTTTATTTTCAGTGCAACCTCATTCCTATTTAAAGAGCTTATTATTAACGAGAATTTACAGTTTTTCCTTCTCTCTGCTTTTGTTATTCTTCTACAGATCCTTTGATTTCTGCCAACTTTTTTGTAGTTGCTCCAAATATGAAATTTCTAAGAGTACAAGGGCTAAAAAGAAACTTTTGTGATGTAGAGTTTTTACTTGTAATTAGAACCTTTGCTTCAAAGTTAGGTTTAAAATTAAAGAATTTAGTGGCATACCAAAAAGGGCCCCCACAATATCCCAATATGGACATTAAGAACCCTCAAATTAATCAGATAAAAAAGGAAATTGTAGAACGTACATTCTGCGTTGGTCAAACCGAGCAATCTCACACAAAATGAATATAAGAAAATATACGCAGTCTGCGGTTTGCTCACGTCATTACTGTTAGTTTCTAAGCAAACAAGTTGTGGAAATTAGAACACTGAATCGACTAGAAGTAACTGTTTGAAAGTTTTCAGATGTGGAAGTCGAAAGGGGTTTTTTTTTTTTTTTTTTTATTGTAATAACACAATTGGTTGCACGTTTCTAAACTCGAACGGGTGTTCTTCTTGGATTAAAGATCTCTGAGTACATCTCCGAGAAAAATTTCTCGACCATCTCGCAATAAGCTGGACATGTTAACCGAGAATAATAATGCATAATTTCTTGAACGTCAAGAACATGATCTACGTTATCCCTATCCATGACTTCCAGTTCCTTCAATCTTCTCGTCATCAAACCCCTCTTTTCCTCTTGTTCTCTTGACGACACTTCTTCGTGTTTTTGTTGCTTCCTTCTAGTGACCTTATGGTGATCGATCAACATGGATGGTTTATTGCTCTTCAGGGTATTTGCATTCTTTTCCCACGCAGTCCCCATAACACGGTCTGCAGCCTCCCACTGGTCGACGAATTCAGTGTAAATGCTCTCCAGACTGAACCCCGTGTTGTGGTGTCCATTGTAAGATGGTGTTTTCGGAAGCTTTTGGTAGCCTTCAGAAAAGTAAGACTTGACGGTCTGAATACTTCTTTTGAAGAATTTCTTGGTCCTCTGAAACATCGTTAATTCAGACGTTTCTTGGCACAGAATGAAAAAATTGGAGGACTCGTTCGGGTAAAACGTGGAAAATTTATAGAGTGAATAGGGGTGTGAAGGTTGAAGGGGTTTAAGTAGAATTCAAGAAGTGGTTATGAAGAGATGAGATGAAGATGGAAGACCTAACAATTATTCTTTGGTCCATTTATTTCTAACTTTTTTCCATTTTTGTTCTCAAAAGGTCCAAAAACTGTATTTTAGCAGTGAAATTATTACTGTGTGGTATTTACAGAGAAATACGTGGATCAGGGTTAAAGATTGTCAATTTTCATATGTTAATGGCTAAATCGAAGTATTATATTGGTTACATTCAGTTCCAGTTGTAAGAATTTAACTGATTTCTTAACAACTCGGTAATTGAAACAAATAAAAACCGATTCAGACGTTACGTTAGTTCACGAATCATGACATGAAATTATATCATATTAACATACAACGACTGTCTTGGTCAAGATTTTTCTTAAGGGAGAAGTTCAACAACAAAAAACCCATCACGTTTTGAGAGATTAATGGAATGTTATGAGATTGCTTATAAAAATAACTTATTGACTTATTTCGGTGTGATATTGGTAATAAATACTTTGAATGTTTGGATAAACAACTTATACCGGTGTCAAACCAGTAATAAGAAGTTTTTTAAAAAGTTAAACCTTTCTGACTTATAATAAGTTGATAAGTGTTTTTGTAGAAAAACGTAAGTCGTTTCAAATAAGCAAATCCCAAACACCCCATAATTCTGTAACTTACTAAAATTGAGAAAAACCCAACGAACTTTCATATTTTGAATGATTAAATTTTTGAACAAATAAATCTTTACACTTATAAACGAAAGAAATTTACGCTTTCTTTTTCCATGCATCAACAAATCTGTAGAAAAATGCAACAAACTAATAAAACGAAAAACTACACTATTTTCATTAACCCTTATTTATTTTTCAGATTCAAACGACAGTCGCATGTGTTTGTTATGATCCTGTTACCGTCATTTGAATTTGAAAAATAAATAATTATCAGATTCCCTTATGTTTCCCATTTGAATTTGAAAAATAAATCATGAATAATGAAAACAGTGTTTAATCATTTTCATTGGATTATTGTACTTTGTTACTGATCTGGATACATCAATTGATATATAATATACTGCTTTTGTTTTATAAACGTACAGATTTATTCATTCAAAAAATGTCCAGGTACCTAACAGCTTAAAGGGCAAATTACATGAAAAAGTAACGTACTTTAACTTGATTCCTATTTTAGGTAACGTACTTTCAAAACTTCCATTTTGGTACCTAAAATGTAAAGTTTTAAATATTCAAGTACTCGAATAATCGATTAAAGCATTAATCGATTACCATACTGATACTGATGTAGTTGAAGTAAGAATGAATATTAAGTTTTTCTTTTGAAAGTGGAGTTGGTGTGTTTTAATCTTGAAGAGGAAGAAGCCCCTAAAAACACTTGTGAGGTCATACCACTACATGTCATGTTCTTTTTTTCTACTTCAAAATCTTGATATTGACAAGGGGTATTTATGTCATTTGCAAGCTACCAAATGTTATTTATTCATCCTTTAAGTAAAAGACTCCATTTATATATTTTGTGTAATTTGTAATGTTTTGAAATACCCGAAAACGTATTTTCGAACAGCAGAATTTTATGCCAGTTAGCTGTTTTATACTGATGATTTGGTGGACACTGGTAAAATAATACTACTGAGTGTTGTAAACGAATGGTTATGGGCTTGACACCTATATTGTCGTTTGTATATCTGTGTATATTGTGCGTATATATGTATATATATATATAGATACTCGTACATATTGGAACACTGATATGTAAACTAAATATTATGCTTTATATATATATATATAGATACTCGTACATATCATATTATTTTTAACGGTTATTTGTGAGAAAAACTACAAATATGGTGAGTTTTTTTTATTAACCTGGATATCCAACCCACTATGCGAGCCGACTAATTCCAAGGCGACCATTTGCTTTGCAGATAGTCCGGAGTCACCTTGAACCTCCGTAGCCACAAGATGATTTTTTTTCTCCTTGTATCTGGGACCTCATGGTACTTTTCACTACAACAAAATTGAGTTTATAGAACACCATCAATCTCTAAATGTCCCAATAGACCGCTTTATAAAACCTAAGTTATAAGACCAAAATATAAAACGTCCTATCTAAAGGTGTTGTAATAAGTTTATATGACGCTTTTGGGCGTCTTAACAAGTTTTTGAGGACATTTTTTTATACAAAGTGTCGCATTAGCACTTTATGGGACACTTTTGAGAAAGTGTCCTATAAACTCAATTTTTTATAGGACATTTGTTTTTATAGGACAATTTTTCAAATAGTGTTCTATAAAATTGCTAATATGATGTTTTATATTAAAAATGTCCTAAAAAACTTATTACGACGTTAAAAATGTCATATAAACTTATTACAACGCCTTTAGATAGAACACTTTATTTTTTTGGTCCTATAAACTAAGTCCTATAAAGAGGTCTATTATGACACTTAGAATTTGGAAGTGTCCTATAACCCGATTTTGTTGTAGTGTGTCTTGAATGTAAAAATTATTCTTGTTCAAAAATGTCAAATAGATAGGATCTTTTAATCATAATAATTTTGTAATTTATACTATATTATAAAGCATTTGACAAAAACTCTTAAAAAACTATTTTTTATACATAAAATGCTGTTTATCGATGCATATTACTTAAAATTCAAGATCACAAGTAAATTATGCGCAAGTACAACTTATTAAAGCTTTATTTTTAACTATTGATAAACATAATCAAATATGGGATAGACATTTGAATATAAAAAATCTAAAATATAATTACGATAATAATTAGTTATCACAAAATACTTAATTATTATCTTTATAAAAAATATTATTAAATGATAAATAAGCAATAACCGATCAGACTTGACCATTTCTGTTAATGACTTAAAGAATTTGAACAATTGGACGTAATACGTAAATAATCTATCTTTTTATGAAACGATTAGCCCGAGACTCGATTTTATCGTGCTTAATGCAAGTTATTCGTAAAAAGATTCGTTATTTTAAATGTATGTGACGATAAACTCGTAAATAATTACAAAAAGTTAAAAAGGCTTTAACGTTTAAGTAAATGGGAGCTTAATGGGCTTATGAACATTGAGATGGTTTAGGGCCATTTCTAAAAGAAGCAACTTTTATTTTCTAATAAGACTAAGGGGTCGTTTACCCAATTACTTATCCGGTAAACGCTTATCAGTAGGAGTCAACATTATAATTTATTTTACCAGATAAGATTGTAGTATATTCAGATGGTATCGTATGCAACAATTTACCCGGTAAACGCTTACCCGGGTAAGAGTCCTCACCATCACTTACCGGGTAAAACTCTCTATCCCTATCATCGCTCTTACCGGGTAGAGATGGCCAAAATCGGGTCCCGGGCCGGTCCCTACCGGTCCTAATCAAGACAAAAACCGGTGCTAACCGGTCCTGCCATAACCGGTCCTGGTTCCGGTGAAATACCTTGTAACCGGTCAAACTTACCAGTAACCGGTTAAGGTATCCGGTCCCGGTCCCGGTTCCGGTCCCGGCCAAAAAAAAATTCCAAATTTTTGTTTATTAATAAATTTTTAATATATTATTAATATGTTTGTAATATGTTATTTTTAATATGTTTTATATAAATACGTTCAAAAATATGTTTTGTTATAAATACGTTTAAAAATATGTTTTGTTATATATATA